AACAATTTGTCAAAATCTATCCTTTGATCCAGGTTCATAAATACTTAATGATTACTACGTTTAAAAGAGCAGACTGACATCTAGTAGTTCAATTACAAAAGCTATTTTAACACAACTTTGTTTTGCAGAAGAATCTGAAGTCACACATTTATCTGGAGTGATTTTTTTTTTATCTCAGAAGCTGCCACATGAAAAAAATCTGTTGCTCAACAGACCATTTTATGAACCAAGCGTGCAAATTTCAAAAGCGCTCAGCTGTACGAAAGGAGGACTTTTGCTGTTTAAATAGACTGCCATGCAGCTGATTAAAGAAGCCTAGGCTCTGACCCACCAGAAAAAACTATGCTCGCCTTCAGGCATCATTTGAAACCTCTCAAATGCTGAAAGGTTTTGCATTCACTGTGAGGCAAACAAAAGAAAACAACCACCCCCTTTAATTATTTTGATAGAAATAACCGTCATTTGTCATTTAAAAGAATAGACAACTTCTTTGAAAGTTATGTCCTGGTAATACATTTAACATTTAAGGTTGTATTAGTGGAAGGAGAAAGCGTGAAGCAGACAGTTCTTCAAAGATACTATTGTATCTAAACTGGCTGGGACCTGTGCAATAGCAGGAAACAGAAGCATGAAAATATTTCAAGTCGATGCAGCCTGCTTGATCTACTAACAGCCCTAATAAGATTTAAAGGAAAAAACCAACACAGTAATATGAAGCTAATATTGAAAATACTTGTAATAAATCATCATAAGATACAGTTACTATTTCAGAGGAAATATACGTAAAGCCCTGGCTAAGCCTCACATACTGCCATGCTCTAATAATCTATACAAACCTTTTCTTTGTATTACCTTGAAGCACAAGTAGGTTGTTAAAACAGACTCTAGTACCTACTTGGCAGTTGTTTGCCTCATATTTGAAATCAATTTTGGAACATACTAGTCCTATGTTCAAAATATAATCAAAAATATTAACTTTGAAGAAGAATCAAAATTAATTGATTTTTCTTCTTAAGCTTTCTGGACATCCATCCTCACAAAATTCCTGGTATACAAAGAAGTGTTTTAAAGTTTGGGAAGAGACATTACATTGTTCATATGATCTCAAAACACCAGAAACAAAGCTCAGCTCTGACACTACCTCCTTCACAGCTGAACTGATCACCTTACTTCTTGCAGTAAATCAGTAACACGGTTTATCTGTGAGTAACAGGGAAATCAGATTTGAGTTGTTTGTATTTTTTCTGATACAATAGGCTCAAGGATTTGGAAGAACAGAGAACACCTCTGTGTTGTTAAACTGTTTGGACTCTTCACTTAGGGAATACAGGTATTTTATCCACAAGACTGATTTTGTACCTAGAGAAATAAATTTCTCACGCACAGAGCAGTGTTGATCCAAAATTTCAGTTAACACAAATACCTTTTTCTAAATTAACAAACTCACACTTGTGGTGGTATTTTCTGTCACTCACTTCCAGGATTCTAATTCCAAATTCATGCAGGAGTTAAAGCTAATTAAAGGTTTCCTAAGAACCTGCGTATCAGCCAGTGTTCTCTAACCTCCTCTGCTGCAAACCGAAGCGCTCAAGTTCCAAGCACCTTCAGAGGCAGACTATGCAAGGCCTCCTTCCATCAGCCCCCCACCCCCACAAACACTCCCCGAGCCTCAAAACAGATCAGAAACAGGAAACCACAAAAATCTCTAAGAACCTAAAGGCAGCCTGTAGCCCAAACAGCTGTATGTAAACAAGCCATTGAGAATTCATTTCACAAAACAGATCTAGGCCAGCTCACCAGAAAATAAAAGCCACACATTGCAATCACAATATAACAGGTCACATTCTACACCATCAAGTTATCTCACGAAGCGCACCAATACTAAGAAGTGTTGCACAGAATGGATGGGAGCTCACGTTAACAAACACAAAAGGACTTCCTATACTAACTCTTGTTGGCAATTCTAGAAAACAAGAGAACTGCTTTGGGTGAACAGCAGAAAAGCAGCCACGCAGGTGGCAGTAGATGGGGTGTACAAAGGTGGGACAGCACAGGCAAGACCTGTACATTGAATTCCTGTAGGATTACTAAAGAACTGAACGTAGTTTTAATACTTTCTTTTCAGGAAAACGTGCTAAAGAAGTTAATCCATGCAATTTTTCACTATAAAGAATTATAGAGCATTTGCCAGGTGACATATTTACAGCTTATCTTTCAAGCCAGAAAGCTAGTCTCAACTTCAGTCTGTAGTCACAAAACAAGCCAGCTGTTTTCCACAGCACGGTTGAGTAGAATCCATCAGGTGTGAAAAATAAGGTTCTAGAGCAAAGAGCGAACTTTGTGAGCGGCGTGTTCAGCCCTTTCAGACACTTCAGTTAGGCCTTACTAACTTTCTACAAGCTTAGCTGCAAATAAGATGTCAGAAAGGGAAGTGGGGTGGGAGAAAAATCAGCTCCTTCCCCTTTTGCTTCTGTATTACATACACATAATCTCACTTAGCCACCTGCAAAAAAAGGTTTCCCACTTGAAATACCAGAAACAGTAATTCCTTGGTTTCATACCAGTTCTTCAGGAAGCTCCACTAGGAGGAACTCAAGGATTTTCTCTCTCAAACACAGTGTTTTCTGAAGTGAATTTTTTTCTTTCTATACTAAAAAGTTATTTCTTGCTTGCATATTTCCTGATGCAATAAATGTGCTAGTTCTACAGCAATCCACACAGCTTTTCTAGCAAAACCAAACCCAAACAAGTTTACGGTTAAAAACCAGAAATTACTAAAATATTTCACATCCTCAGAGATCAAACCTGTTTTTACTACTTTGCCAGTGTATTACTTTTCTCATTCTAACCAAGTGATTATGTCCCTGGTTTCATGCTTTCTGCACCAGAATTCCTGCAAGTACTTCAGTAGTCAGCATCCCTTTTTGAAATGTTTCCTGCAATGCTGCCTTCCAACTGATCTACTTTAGGGAAGTGAAATGAGCCCAGGTCTGCAGGGTGCCCCACAATGTCCAGATACAGCAATCTACTTGCAGAGTTTCAAGAGCTATATGAAACAGACGTTACTTGTAGCACCGGAAGTAACAGCAATAACCCAAAGAATAACTTGGCGAAAAAAAAACCCACCCTAACCCCACTGCAGATTCATTGTATAGTTGAACATCACTGTTCTCTCCAGATTATTCTCTGGATTATCTCCTTTCCACTAGCTACCAGCACTTCCTATGTTAGAAACATGAATGCATATAAAATTGCTCTTCTTAAACTGATACCATTTCTTCACCTTTGAGCACCTTCTCAGCACCTGGGGTTTTTTACTATTTTCTATTCCTGCAGCCTGCTTTGGCTAGAGATTCACAGAAATCTTATCCCACGAGTGGCAAGACTAGTCACAGCCTTATGCCAAAAACCCAAGAGAAGAGAGTATTAGGTAGACAGACATGTAGGGAACACCTCTCAAGCCTGTCTGAAAGTTTTATACCTACAAATAACTACAAGCAGAACCCTTACCATAGCCCCATCTAACTCCTAGCATAGATGCAGAACACAGTTCTTTGAAAAGTGCAGTTTCTACTAGTTCCACAGAGGAAAAAAAGAAGCTAGCAGTTTTGTTCAGACATATTCACAACTATACTGTCATCTTTATCAAGACAGAAACACTGGTGAAATCTAATAATCACAAGAGCAGCTAAACCTTCTAGCGAAGGTGTTGCTGAAAATGCCCATCCACATGAGACACAACATGCATATAAGGAAGCCACTAACAGTAAATACCTGAGACCACACTGACACCTGCAAATAAAGCAGCACTAAAGTTGTTCCCTTTTTAAAAGTACAATTTTTTCCCTTTGGACCACGCCTTCAGAAAACAGCAGAATGTTTCAGGAACTGTCCCCACATATACAAACACAAAAAAAATTAACTGTTTTGGCAGAGGAATGCAGGAATATTCCTTTCAAAGCTGTGCTCCATATTTTCCCCTCGCCCTGCAGTGTTTTGCATTTATAGTAGAATGATCATAGAACTCACTGATGTCACTAATAATCGCAACACACATGCATTAACAGTAACTTGCTCAGAACATCAGAAATACTGGCTTTCCCGTATTTGATATCATCTCAACTACAAAAAGGTTGGCTGCATCAGTCCATCTCTATGTGCTACTGTCAGTCAGTACACTCACCTGGCCACAGAAATACTAAACAGGATCGAAGAGAGGGAATTCAAAATAAGTTACGCTAATAAAACATTTTAGCTTTAACAAAACCGATTGTCACCTTTGTTCTTTGTTCATTCTCTCTCTGTACATTTCTCTTACGGACAGGGACCTAAGGCATACATAGAAAAGGAAAAGAACTGCAAGTATTTTGGAGAGGCAACAATCGAGGAGAGAAGCACAAAGGGAAGCATACTCCCTGTTTAAAAGAGTCCCAAGTAAACACAAGTCATCCCTGACGCTGAGAAGCAGCCATGTGGAGCTCTAACAAGTGGCAAGATAGGAAAACTAATTCCTTTAACAGTCAAACACTGCTTGATTTCATAATCCTCAATGCACTATTCTGTGTTCTCCCCAGCAGGGCTATTCCACAGAATCGTTCTCATCTTCAGTCAACAAATATGATTCTGTGTAACACCCTGATGAAACAAGCACTGAGCATGAAGAGGAGCACACACTGGAACAGGGCATTCAACACAGCTATGCCAACCTCCAAGGAGAAGAACCTCCTCAGCCAATTCCAACCGACTGAAAAGTTTTAAGTGCTGCACAGTGGAGCTTGACAGCTTACAAGTGACAGCAAGAATACGAGCCCCAAAAGCACATGGATGAGAAACGGATCACTGCGAGTTAGTTACACCGGTATCAATGAAAGTTGGCAGTTATTTTGGTAAAAAAACCACATTCTTTTCATAAGGGAATTCCTACACTAACTGAGCTGTGTAACCTACAACGTAAACTACGATTTACTACTACTATTTACTAAAAAACGATTTACGATTACCAATTCGGTGTATCGGCTACAGCTCCGTCCTGCATTAGTCAGTGCTCACAACGCGTCACTTTTTAGCCTGTCAGACTCGCGTAAACAACCGTGTTCGAAACGGTCCTGTTGCGACCCTCACGATCTTCCTCACGCGTTTGTTTCCACTACGAAGGACCTCGAGTAACGGGGTGGCTCCCCCCGGAAACAACGCCGGCTCTCCGGTGGGAGACGGCCCAGCAAAGCCACGCCAACGCCCGGCACCCGGAACCGAGGACGAAGCTCCGCCAGAGGCCGCGGGCCGGCTGCTGCAGCCTCGTCCCCAGCCCCGCTTCCTCCCGCGGACGGGCCGGGCGCGCTGCTCTCACCTCGGGGCCCTGCAGGCGCCTTGGGCGGAACCGGGGCCCACCCGCGAGGCCCGCGGAGAACCAGGACGCGGGGGAGGGTCGGCTAGAACGAGCACCGGGAGCCGCAGCGCCGAGCCGGGCCCCGCGGCGGGCAGCGCTCGCCCGGCCGCCCCGCTTGTCCGAGCGGTCAGCGAAACCCCGCCGTGGCCCCGCCGCTCGGCAGCGTGCACGGAACGGGCGGCCCCCGCCAAGCGGGCCGGCCCCGGCGCCCATGGCCTACTTCTCCGCCCGGCGCCCCGCGGCCGGCAGCACCCGGCGCGCCGACCCCGAGCCCGCACTCACCAGGGAGCTGCTGGTGCTGGCCATGGGCCCGCCGGCCGGCGCGGCCGCGCTCCCCTCGCGCCTCAGGACCCCGGCGCACGGCCGCCAGAGGCGAGCCAATGGGGCGCCCGCATCCCCCGCCCGTGACGTCACCCACAACAATACCCCGCTCCCCGCTCCCCCCCCCCCGCCCCCGGCGCGGCGGGCAGGACTTCCGCTCGGCGCGGCCGCTCATTGGCGGCGCCACCCGCAACTCACGTGAGCGCCCGGAAAGGACGGTCCCCGCCAGGCTCAGAGCTCCCGGCCCGGCGAGCATGCGCAGTCGCGGCAGTGAAGCTGCGGCCCCGGTGCCCTCGGGCGCGGCGCGGGTGAGGGCGGAAGCGGCCGCGCGGCCTCCCCCGCCACCACCGCGCGCTCACATCCGGGTTCATGCCACGACGCGAGGGCGCGCTGGGAGTGGCGACTTGGTGACGTCACAGAGCGCGGGGGCAGCCGGGGCGGGGGGGCCGCCGGAGCCGCGAGTGCGCTGCCCGCTCCGCTGCCTGCCCGCGCCGCTGCCTGCCCGCGGGTGGGGAGAAAAGCGCGGTCCGTGTGCGCTGAGCAGGAGCTCGCCCGCCCGCCCGCCCTAGCGCGGTGTCGGCGCCAGCCGGTCATTTGCGGGGCGCTGAGCCCTTGCCCCGGGCGCTGCGTTCTGCCGGGGGCGCAGGGGTCGGCCAGGCCGGTGCTGACCACCCCGCGGCCACGGCTGCGCTGGCGGGGCGGGCCTTTGGCGCACAGCGCCCTGCGGCAGCGCGGTCGGGTTTGCCGGGGGTTACTGAGCCGTAGGGGTTTTTGCGCAGGAGGCCGGATCAGGAAGGTCCACCCAGGGCGCTGCCCCGCAGCACAGTCCGCAAGCCAGATTCACGGTCAGCCTGGCTGGGGGCGGAGGGCCGGGGCAGTGTCCTGGAGCTGAGCTGCTTTCCATGGGAAGATTTCTGCTATAGCCAGCCTGAATCAGCTTTCCGGTGCGAGATTCTCATCTTCAGCAGACAAGTAGAGCTGCTGATCAGAATCTAATAATGGGTTGTGAGGGGAGGTGCTTTTAAGTATACCTCTGCTTGTGTTCACACTGCATCCCAGTTCTCTCTCATAGGCAATGTTTTCTTCCCCGAATCCTTTCCAACTGATTTGCATCTTCCTGAAGGTATTATGTCTAGACTTGGATATACTGTTCAACTGCAGCCTCATTTGTTACAAGTAGAATGAAATAAGTACTTGCTACCGTTTCCAAATTACCTGTCTCATTATGAGCTGTAATAGTATTTGTCTGCAATAGCATTTCACTAGTAACTCATTATTTGTATCATGGTTCACTGCAGCTCTCGCATCCTATTTCAGTGTGTTGCTCAAATCCTTCGCAGAACAAATCTTGAACGTGCATACTTTCTATTTCATCGCCAAAATTACTGAATCAGACCAAGGCTGCGTCAGGATAGACTCCTGGAGCACCGCTTGAAAGGCCGTATCAGTCAATGGGGAACTGTTAATGATTAAGACTCTTAATGCCTTTTCAAGCAGTGTAATCATTCATTCATAAATCCAGGTGGTATCATTTAGGCCAAGTGGTGTCCTTACTATTCCTCTAAAATTGTATACAAAATCTCACCAAAGTCAAAGTATGTAGGATCTACTTCTTCGCCATCAGCAGCAGCTAAACTCTCATGTCATTGACAGAAGTGGATGAATCACTTTTTAATCCTCTAGATTGTTAAGAAAAATATTTTTTAGTAACTTCTACCTTTTAAAGGCAGAAGTTTGGCTGCTTGAGTTCGTGTTTTGGGCCCTATTTTGCCTGCATGCAAAGATGACACTGTTTCAGAGTTCTCTAGATTTCTTTTTCTGCATGACTTCTCAGAAGTAACTTTCAGCATTGCAGAGGCTGGTTTGTGATATAAGGAAGAGCTCATTTCCTAGAGGAAATATGTGTTGTCTTGGGTAAGACAGTATTGAGAGGTGAACTGGACCTCCCCCGCACTGCTGAGTGATTGCAGTGGTGGTATTTTTAGTATCTTTGCCATCCCCCTGATGACAGACATTTAATTACCAAGCTGAGGAAAAACATGGTATTAATGTAATGGCTTAGTGTGGAGCACCGAGACCATTCTGGAAAGGCTTGTGGGCTCTCAATGCTGTGTTTCCTGGGCAGGGGCAGTGCAGCAGGCACAGTGCCGGCACGGGCACCGCAGCGAATATGCATTTCTGGATGTAAAAGTATGTCACAAAGAAGTCTTAGCTTAGTGAGCTGTCTACATTGATGCCCCGATTCCTTTCTTTAGTGCTTTATTAGACTTGCCTATGGCTTACAACTTTGCCAGCATTTGGCAGCCCGTGTTGGCAGTATAAAAGACAGCTTATTACTTGCCTTTACACTGTAATGACTGTTACTTCTGCCCTCTGGCACTGCCTATATCAGGCTGCATGTGAATCAGTGTGGCTCAAAAATCCATATTGTGTTGGGCCTGCAGTACCATATAAATATACTACTTCTAGACAAAGACAAATGTGGCATAATACTGGGCTGTGGTATCAGAGTTTGATGCTGTCACAGCAGATTCTGTGCTGCAGTCCAGTATGCACTGAAAATGGGAAGTGTGTTGATTAAATCAATCTGTTCACCAGCCCTAAAGTGATAAGATTGGACACTGGGGGTTGGGATTTTGTCAATTAACTTGGCTCCATGAGCAGCAAGGAAGAAGCAATCCAAGTTGCTGTAGTTTTGTGTTGCAACTTAATCCTTGGCTTGCATGTTGTTAAAAACAAACAACCCCTCTGTGTGTTGATTCCCCTTCCTAGCATTAAAAATAACATCCCCTCCTCCTTTCCAGTTACAATCAGCAGTACATAAATACGCATGTCGTCAAATGGTACGGTTCTTGCTTTAGAACCGATGGTTTAGATCTCTGCACTTGATTAGTGCTTCTGTCCTCAGAACTGCTGTGCCTTGAGCAGGAACAGATCTGCAGATTAGATTAAATTACTGAAGATTAAACAGACTATTTTTAATTTCTGGTGCTTTTACTGGCAAGATGAGTGAACATGTGGATGGCTGTGAAAGAACATATACTCTGCCAAGGGATTCTGGGAGACTCAAGGGACTATGCTTGTCTTGAAAGGCCTGTGGTGACAAAGGCTTCTGCAGCACAGGATTCGTGACTCAAAGAAGCACAGCAATACAGAAAAGATGGAGTGAAAGGGCTGTGGCGCTGGAAATGGTGGAGTTCACACTGGCAGTTGGCAAGATGGTGCTGCTCCGAGTCTAACCAGCATTCCCTGTACTTTGTTTATACAATGATCAAATTTAACAGAAGTAAACTAAAAAGATCAAACTTGTCTCTCTGGACTCTGGAATTACTTTCCTCCTGTCTGCTTACTTAACAAGGGAATGATTTATGGGTTTATTTGGACCTTGACTAATGGCAGTCTCGGGGAAAAAAAGATTGCTTTCACGGGCTCGGCTTCTGCACTTTGGAGCAGGAGTTTGCAGATCAGTGATCTTGTTTCAGCATGCCAAACACCACTACTTGAGCTTTGCTTTGATGCATTAAAAGCCACACTGTGAAGACAAGTCAACAGGTTGAGTGCTGTGTCTTAGTATTTGTGACTTGTTTGCTTCTCTTTCAAAATGAGTTTGTGTCAGTGCTGTGATACCTACACTGTTGAAAAACATGCAGTCTGAGCTTCTCACCCCTCTTGCAATGACTAAACAGCAGAATGTCTGACACATACAGCTGCTGTCACTCATTACTGGGAACACCAATACTTCCATAGCCGTTGGGTGAGCACTAGCAGAGCTATGCTGATGTTCACATGCTAGACACGTGGGATTGCTCACCATGCTGGTCCCCCTTGGTTTTATGAGGTGTAAAACACATTTTCAATCAGGGACCTTCTTGCCCCTCTTTCTGTTGGTGGCGATAGCAGCAGCACTGGCTTAGTGCTTTGGTCTGCAAACAAGGGAGAAGAGTATGTCCCTCTCCTACAATGTTTTCAAACCAACTTTTACTAATATTTACATAGCCAATGTTTTCTAAAGTTCTTCAAAAACTCTTGGACACTAACTTCTGAGAAATCAAAGTTTGCATCAGTTCCTTTATTCTGAATAATTGTACAGTGTTAGTTCTCAAACACACCCCTCTCCCCCAACCAAACTCACAACTAAATGGAAATCTTTAGCACAGATCATTTACAACTCCTTAGTGGCTTACAGGCATTACTTAGATATCTTCCAAAATTGTTTCCCGTGGCAAAACTCAACAGGAAGAAAAGAAAGGGGAAGATACTGGCCACTTCGTTCTGGTTGCAGACAAATCACATTGCATGCACTCAGTGGTCCCAGGAAATGAAAGGCTTCAAAGGCTTGGCCAGAGCCCACATTATTAGATAGTAGTTCTCCGTCTTCTACTAGGAAGGTGCATATCGCACTTAGAGGCAAAAATTCATCCTTAGAATAGCTCAGAGATTCTGGGAGAAGCTGTGAAAAACCACAGCTTGAATCTAATACCAGCCTCAATCATGATACACACGAAAAGAACAAAAATACCAAACAACAAAACCCCCTGTACTCGTAACTGCGTAATACTTTATGAAACTGGTTCAGTTTCTATGCAGACGTTTGTAAGCTCAGGCTGTAAAGATCTGAGAGATTTAAGATACCATTGATCTGACAGTTTCAGGAAGCGTCCATCTGACTCTGAAGATTTGAAATTTGGGACACTACATCAAGCCACACTAGGGGGTCTAAGAGTTTAGAATCACCAAAATCCTTTAGACTTGTGGTCTTGTTTCAGAGATTTTCTTCTCCGGAGGATATTATAGCTACTGTTAATTACAGTAACATCATATTCTTCTGCCATTACATTGTGGTATAGTATAAAAAGCATCCTGGAAAACAGTTTGTACAAGATAAAAATCACAAAGGACCAGAAAGGGGATATTTTTTCAGGTATCAGAAGAGCATTTTGCTTACCACTCCAGAAACAAATCAGTGCTGGTGCCTCCTGTGACTGTCACACAAGCTGGATGTGGACTCCTCATTCTGTTGCTGCTTCTCTTCCCAGATGAAGACTTTCCACAACAGTCCTCTGGCCTAGCACATGTTTTTGGGAAGGGTGTCTCAATCTGCTTACTGATAACTGAAACTTTTCATTGTCAGAACTAACCAGTGCTAACAATCACCAGAGAGTCAAGGGAAGCACTCCCAAAGAGGAAGGAATGAATGTGTGTGACTGTATGTATGCATGTGCCAGCTAGTGTAGTTGCATCTGTAAATTTCTTAGCATGCTTGCTAAAACTCCTGAGCCCTTTAAGCCTAGGAGATGTAACTAAGACTTCAGGAACCTGCTTGGTGGGCAGTCAATCACATCTAAGGTTTTCTGTGTCTAGGGCAGAAAGTAAACCTCCAGAGGTTCATCTCAGAAAGGCTGTTTGGTTGAGCAGATAGGCAAAGAACTCATCAGTTCTGGAGAAATAAAAAAAGCCCTGGAGAGGCAGTTGGCCTGGCCTGCTTTTTGATTAAATAAAGCTCGTTTGTTCTATTCTTGCTTTTCGCCTTTCTTCAGTAGATCAGGTCAGGCACTTAACCTTGGAATAAATTGTTGTTAAAATCAAAGCACTATATGGGGCTTAGTTACGGCACAATAGAAAGTTAGAGCCATTCGGAGTAATAAAGAACAAGACCACTGCCTGATTAAATAGAGCAATTATGAATTCTGAAGAAATTGGGAACCATTTGAAGTCATCAATATCATATTAAGAAGCAAATATTAAAAAGCAAAATTACCCTTTTTAGCAAAAATTGGTTATGTTTTTTACTACTTTATAAAATAACGATGGAGTTTAAGTTGTGGTTCAGCACATTACAAGTATTGCTGCTTCTGAGAGGCGCCCAATCCCAATAGCTCCTCCTGAGGCGAAATAGCAGGTCTGCTGCTGCTTCCTTAGCCAGAGCATTGCTGGACTTCTGCTGCTGACAGGTGGTTAATTTAGAGAAGAGTATGGTTATATGTCCCCTGAGACAGCAGGTACTGCTGGAGTCAGGCCTTGCGATGCCTGTAGGAGTAGTATTTGCTAGCCAGAGGAGTTGTCACGATCTTCTTTTTAAGTACAGAAATTGAGGATTTACCTAAAAATGATACATGTTTGTAATTGTCTGCATGGCCACTATTTAAGCCACTTGGGAAGACAGTGCTGGGAGGTGAGAGGACAGCACAAAGATCTTTGTAGACGGTATTCCTCAGGGAAGGTCACTCTGATCATTCTGATTGAGAAGACTATTGCCGTTGGAGAGCTTCAGTAGTTCAGCAGGAATCAAACCTCCTGTGGTATGATTGTCACATAAGGTACAATAGTCACTACTGCTGAAGGACACATTTGCTATCTCTAAAGATTCCTGAAGCATAAGGAAGTTGCCCTTTCCATGCTGTGCGTGAGAGGAAGAATTCCTTCCCGTGCTGGGGCTGTCAAGGTTGGCTTTAATTTTTTCAGAGATTTTCAAGCCAACTGTATCATCACCACGGGCTTGTGCAAACAGTAGTCCCAGCCTCACTTCTGTCTCTTCTGCTCTTACATACCTGCTGGGGACGTACTGCTGGCTTGGAACTGAGGCAAATACTAAGTTTTCTTCTGCAGCAGCCAGATTTGTGCTTTCCATAGGTTTCAAGGAAAAAATCTGGGAAATCTGTTCTTGGGTGTTCAGATCAGAAACATGATCTGCAGTCACTTTGTTTGACTTGCTGGCCTCTTCTCTTCTGAGCTGGCTACAAGCCTCATTAGATCCAACCCAGTCCTAGTGAAAGGATCAGTAAGTTCAGCACATTTTGTTTACAGTTGGAACTTGCAAAATAACTTCTTTCTATATGGCTTTGGCACAATAGCCCAGAGGTTTAGTGCAGCTCTACTGGGCAAACAGAGTAATAGGGTAGAGAATCTAGCTGCTAATGTCACAAGAAGTTTTCAAGATTTCACCTCCAGAATGTACTGCAAGCTGCTCATATTGCTTTGGCTTTGCAAAGACTGTGTGCACCGCTCATGTTCAGCATGGCTAGGAGTCACTGACTGGAGGGAGCTTATTTCTAAGGTGAGAGAAGCTGAATTGAAGCTTTGGTGGTGTCACTAGTATGTGGAGGCAGGACACTGAGAAACTGTAAAGCTCCAGAAAGACTAGAACCATGTCAGTAACTGCTCAGGAGCTAGAATGATTAATCCCCAAGAAAAGAAAAGTGCTCTCCTCATGAATTGAGGGTCATAAGAAAGAAATGAAACTTATCTCTTACCTTAAAATTCCCATTGTGCAAATTATAGAGAGGCTGAAAGAAAGCAGCTGGTGTGGGAATGTTGAAGCAGGAGAGGTCTTTTGCCCTGAAGTGAGAAAACAACACTTCAAATTAAAACAAGCAGAACGCGACAGCAGTTTTCCTGTGTTCTGTCTCGATGCTGTTAGTTGAGAGCTCCACACTTACATTATAAAAATTGCACAGGAAGTCCATTTCGCAAGGTTTCTGACATCTCCTGCAAGTGTTGGACTCCTGTGCATGTATTTAATGTTTCTAGCCTGAAGCACAGTCATAAAAATTTTGAGGAATGCTATATGCTGCAAACTCAGTACTAGTCTATTACTCATTATATGACTAAGCTATTTATGCATTTGTTTAGCAACTAACTTGATCTAAACAGCATCTCTGGAATTGTTTCAGAGCATTCTAGTTTCATTATGTTTAGACAGAGAAATTCTGCCAGACATCCTAGTCCCTTTATGAGAGTCTATCCTGTAAAAATATTTTACTATACAGGCGTCATGCGTTCTGTTTCTCTAAGAGTGATGTGTACGTAGCAGAATAATCTACGTCAAGGCAGCAAAGGAAGAGGCAGGAGATTCACCTTCGCTCTTCCAGCATAAAAAAATCGCAGAGGATAATTGAACCAAAGTTCTAGAGACACCTTTTTCTCTGCACATTTTGGTCCCAAAACCTAAGGAGCACTGAATAGGAGTCAGTTCAGTTTGCTTGCATTGGTATTTTGCATACTGACTACTGCCAGGTATGTCACCAGTAGCTTAACTTTTGAAAGGAGTTTAACCACTCTTACAGATTGCTGTGTATTTGCACTTTTATCTACATGAAAACAAGTAATTTCCATGGGTTTAAATTTCTTTAACTCCAAGACAAAGAGACCCTCAACCTCGAGGTTTAGCTGAGTTTGGGTGCCACAAAGGCACTTTGTTCTTTTTAAGGATTGTGTAGTGGGTCATTAACAATCATCAGCCAAGGAATATGTCATATCCCAGGACTGTCAGAAGTACTTTTGAAAATGATTGAGTGTGTGCAGCACAAACAGGAAGCAAGAAGAGTATAAGGACACCTGATTTACCTTCTTCAGGCTGTACAGATCACGGGGAACTTTCTGAAAAAATATAACATACCTTGAAGAAAGCTTGCAGCTCCAAAATAAATACAGCAGCATGCCGAAACTCAGAGGAATGAACAAGAACTGCATAGTTCTGGTATTTAGGATCTTTTCAGGCAGTTCTAGAAGAATCAACACAAAAATATTGGATAAAAAGTCTGGGAGTCAAGATTGAACCCCAAATAACCAAGCAATGCAAATGAAACAGGCTGCTAAAGGCAGCTAGTTCGGATTTGAAAAGCTCCATTTTACCAGGTATCTTCCTTTTTTGAACATGAATTCATGAGGAGACATGAATTAAAGTAAAAGCAACATTCTTTGTACCTGCTCTTTGAAACACTGTTGGCTGGCTCCACTCGCTCCACTGACTATGGTACGAATCCTCACTCTCAGAAACCTTGCACCGAACTCGTGCAGTGTAAGCAACGCCGCTGCGGAGCTCGGCGGCTTCAATTTCAACCTGGGGCAGTGAACTGGGGGGCGTCTTGTTCAGTGCAATCTGCAAAGCAGTGCAAAGGATTTCTGTAAACGAGGCTGGGCATGGGATGGTCTTTTAAATACTCTTCCCCTCCCCTCCTTTTCCAAATCTTTTCTCAGATGCAAGAAGAGGGCCTGTGCAATGATGGGTGACTTCTGAATGCAGGGTCCAGGAGGAGATTTACTGATCTTCAGTACTGACGGCTTACATAAAATCTTTCAGCAATGATGTTGGAAAACAGAAAGGCCAGCTTAGAACAGCCAGCTGCTAGGAGGCCCAGAGTGCAAGGCAGTATCAGTGTGTGCTTCACCAGTTACCTCCCAGGGCTTGCTGTACTCCTTATACTGCAACTCATACTGAAGAATTTCGACGAGGTACCAAGGCACGCTCCACCATATCTGACACTTGCTGGCAGTGGCATTGCTCTGGATGTTCAAAGGGGGGTCAAGTTTTACTGCAAATAAAGAGATAGGTTTTTCACACTATTTGGGACATGAACACCATGGACAGAAATGCATGATACTAGGCTGAATGAAGTCTTGGAAGATAAGGCTGGGTCTAATGAGTTATATTAAGACCAGCAGTAGACCAAATTAGCTCACAGGGTAGGCCAGAACAACTACAAAATTGACATAAATTAGCCCCTAGGGATAATCCTGCAAGCAAAGAGCCACTCTGGATGTCGCATTCTGCTTGTCCAACATACCTCTAATACAGACAGGAACTGAGATCTCAAATACTAGAGCATTTCTCTGAGGTACCAGGCCATGGGACATCGAATTAGATCCATGACTTTGATTCCTCATGGCTTCATTTCTTAGAAAAAAACAGCTACAGAGGCAATCCAATTGGGCATCAATAAGAAAACATAATGCAAAGAAGAAGTACAGTCAAAAGGTACTCCAGAGCCAGCTCTCTCTGAAGTCCTGGAAAAGTCAGAATGGAGAGACACTGGGACAGCATCCTTAATGATGAAGTCCACATACTACATTCTCCAGGGATGAGCAGTCTGGCCTGTTCCCATTATTTTCACTTTGTACCCCAAAGCTGAAGGCAGAGCCTCAACCCACAGCTGCTCTGCTTCATACTTACTGTGCTCACGGGGATTGTACTCTGGAAAGATGATGTACGTGTGATTGCGTCCAAAGAAGTTGCCTTGGAGAGCAACTCTATAACCATCTGTTTCCAAGATCTGGCTGGCTAAATGGATTGTGCAGTGGTACTGGTTCTGCATGCTTTCTCTGGCAGTAAGTCTGCAGCTGGCGTTGTGGCCCTTTGACCAGAGGCTAGAAGAATAAAAAGGCTGAAAGTTTCTTTTAAGTTGTGTGGTTAAGTGCTTTTCAGTTTATGAAAGATGCACAGCACCGCATTCCGGAAGAACACGAACCTCTTCAGTGCAGCTGGCAGAGAAAGCAATGCTAAAGCTGGCTGGTTGGCAGAGCTGAAAAGGGTGGAGGGAACCAGGTTCATAACCTCACTGCTGAAGGCACCACACCTCCCAGGAGCTGCACGCACAGCTGTACCTGCCCCCTGCTCCCTCTTGGAACTGAGAAGGCTGCTACATGTTGCTGCCAGGAAAGCAGCTGGTACAAGGGGGTTAAAATGGATGGACAGTTGGTTACAAGCACACAGCACAGAGCTAACAAGTTGTACATTAAAGCCTCTTTCACTCTGAACAAACCAGTGCTGACAGCAGAACACCTCAAAGGTTGGTTTGTCAGTTAGTTTTTTCTTTTTCTTTTTTTTCAGTGCTGTTTTTGCTTGGTTTAAGGGTTTTTTAATATTCACAAGCTCCAGCACAGCATAACAGGATGAATGATGGAAAATATCACCTTGGGGAAATGGCTCCAAAGAGCAGTCTCATGTTATTAACTTGTCTAATGCAGCCATTTATCAGCAGATGTCGTGTTGCACATGACCCCGCAGTAAACTGGGACACCACAGTTTATCAGCTTGGCTTTTGTTCATAGATGTAAAATCTACTATAGTTAAGAGTTAGGTTGGTTGTGACTTAACTTTACCAGAATGTATGAGGCATCTAATGGCAGCATGGCTTACCCTCATGCAACACTAGTTACTGGGAGTTAAGATAGCATAATTACATAATCAAAACTCATTCGTCTCAGATTAGCACATCACAGTGCTTATTATCCTATCACCTAGGAAGCCGCTCACCTGATTTCTTCTGTTAGAGAAAAAGGTATTCATATAGTATTTTAAATGTGTTACTATAACTCACTAGACTTTCAAAATCCTTTTGCATATATATTAAATCATTTAGATTAAACCCCTAGGGGTTTCATTTCTAGGCAACAAGACAAGAAGCAGCTAGAAACTAATTAAGCAGCATCATGTAGGATGGGCTGTGGAAGTGCCCCAGTCATGGGGAGCAGAGCCTGGGCTGGGGGGCTCTCTGTTCGGAGAGGGGCTGAATGGATGGATGGATGAATGGGCTGAACCTCTGCTGCATGCATGCAGCCAAGTGTGCTGAACCTCTGCTGCACCCTCCAAGGCAGTGGGACCACAAAAAAAGAGCAGCTTCCAAGGAAGCCACAAGTCTCCTGCTGTGGAGGGAGCAAAGCCCACAGCCGGGCCCCATCTTTGCTCTTCTTGCCCATGCCAGGGCTGCAGCTACCGTAGCAGCTCTTGGTGCTGTGCTGGTTTTGGCAGGGACAGAATTAATTTTCCTCACAATAGCTGGCATGGAGCTGTGTTTGGATTGATGCTGAAAACAGTATTGATAACACGGGGATGTTTTAGTTACTGCTGAGCAGCACTTACACAGTATCAAGGCTTTTTCTGCTCCTCACCCCACTCCATCAGTGAGCAGGCTGAGGGTGCACAAGGGGTTGGGAGAGGACAAAGCCAGGACAGCTGACCCCAACTGACCCCAGGGAGATTCCAGACCGTAGGACATCATGCTCAGCATGAAACACCGGGGGAATAAGGAGGAAGCAGGGGGATGCTTGAAGCCTTGTTTGCCTTCTCAAGTAACTGTTATGCATGATGGAGCCCTGCTTTCCTAGACATGGCTGAACACCTGCCTGCAGAGGAAAGTGGTGAATGAATTCCTTTCTTTGCTTGTGTTCACAGCTTTTGCATTACTCTTTAAACTGTCTTAAGCTCAGCTCGTGAGGTTTCTTGCTTTTACTCTTCTGATTCTTGCCCCCATCGCGCCAGGGGGGCTGGGTTGTGGCTGGGGTTCAACCACGACAGGCTCTTACTTGGTGAAATGCAGGTGGAAAGGTCCCTCTCCCATGGGCTCCTCCATTTCCCACATGCAGCTCACGGTAGTCACATAGTTATTCAGGCAGCTCAGGCTGCCCTGGAGCTCTGCAGAGGAAGGAGACCAGAGCTGCATTTGTGCATTACCTGACAAGGCCTTGCTTGGTACGTCAGATAAATGCATTAGTTTCTAGTGCTTCCTTTAGTGATACCTCATCTGTCCTTCCTCATGATGCCCCTTCTATTGCACCACACTTCACTGCATGAGATGAGTGTAAGATCTTAGGGAACTTGGGCACTGGCTAAGATTTTTCTGCTGTGCAGCTTGTCCAGCACGTGCTGGGTTCCCCAGGCCTGGCATTACCAGCGGGTATTGGTTCCTGGGACTGGGGAAAGGGCAGTCACAGGATCTTGTGTTGCATACTCTGGGGTCTGTGAATGAAAGATGAGCACATGCATGTGCTCCTTCCCACAGTGGGCCTATTCCAGATCTCCTCTTACCTCTTCCTCTTCCTCCACCAAAGAGCAGCACCGAAGCAATGCACAGCTGGAGGCACAGTTGCCACACATCTCCTCCCATTCCAGACAGTATCTAAAATAGAAGAGCCATTAGAAGCAGTTTTGTCAGTATTCATACCAGCAGGTTGAATATCTGCTGCTGCCAGCCCTGACACAAGCTGACCTTGGCTCTGTCAGACAGGGCACCAACTCAGTTATACAATTTCTTCATTTGCCAGGGATTATGATCTCTCTTTCAGAAGAAGCTGCGGAAAAGGAGAAGTGTCAGGATAGGAGAAGACACTAAGTTCAGCATTGCCTCAAGACCAGATGAGTACAGCCTGGCTATAGAATAAGATTGTAGTTTTTAACCAACAAAGGGTCTGAAGTAGTCTAGAATAGGTGTGAGTGAGAAAGAGCCTACACTTAGCAAGGACTGAGCATTTTAATCACTAGGACTGCTTTACTGAAGAGATTAAATTAAAATCTGATGGCTACAGTAGCAGGAAATACTTTCAGTTCCAGATTTCACAGAGCTAGACAGCAGCATCCACACATCAACTTCTTTCCTGTAATTATGCCTGCTTATAGTGTCCCTTTTCTGAATTAATAGTAAAATAATCACAATATTTCAGAATCTTGCTGGCTTCCACTTCAGCACCTCTTCATTCATGGGTTTTTCATAAATATCCTGTTTTGCTGCAGACCTTCTTCAGAGTGGGGGTTGTTGAGAGGAAGCATCACCATTAGCTGATTTTAGCAGGGGGAGGCTGGGAGGCATGAAGGCTCTCCTGCTTATCATTCTAATCAGGGTTGTGTATGATCCCTGTGATAAACACAGTAAGACTGACTAAATATGAAATAGAGAGAGCTGCATTAAATAGAATTATATATGTGCTTACAAGAACTTGTTCAGGCACACAAACAAATAAATCTAAGTCAAGACAACTAAACCAGGACAGACAATTTCCAGGTAATTGCTGCTAATTTGATACCTCCTCTCCCCCACAGAAGTTCTTTATTCAGTTCTGCAATGTTTGAAACATGCTGGACATTTCCTGGCTCTCTAATTCACCTGGAAACAAATGAGCATGTTTAAATGCAAGTTTTTTGTGTTAGTCATGAATGTGTCATAAATAGGTCGTGGAACGTGGAATTCTGAAAGGCTTTATCGGAACATTATTTTGGGAAATAGCACATAAGCAGCTGAAAAAGCTCCTGCAGTACATCCATGCTGTTAGAGGGGCCAACACACAGCCTGTGGATGCAGATCAATTAGCAGAAATGTTACCACAGGTACACACAGCATTCGTAACAGCATTATTATTTCATCCCTTCTGTTGGGATCCACACTTTGACAAAATGTTGCTGAAAAGATGAAAATAGTTCTGGAAAAGGCTGTAAGAATGATTGAATCCTGGGTAACTTTCCTCAGAAATGAAGAGCTAAAATGTCTTTAACTTAACCAAAGGAAAGGCTGAGTAGTAACTTCACACCGGCCACAAGTACCTTTCATGGGAAAAAGATTTCAGGTATGAGAAAAGTTCTGGAGTTGGTTTTTTGGTGGTGTTCTTGTTTGGGTGAGTTTGTTTTTTCCTTTCAATCTCCTAGCGATGGAAGGAATCCAATAGTTGGATACTGAAGGTAGATACAGCTAAACCCGAAACAAAGTGCAGAATTTGGATAAAGGGGAAGTACCTTTATTGCTGGAACCTTTTGCTTTCAGATACGGCCCAAGACCTGTTGTCTATAAATCTTTGCTAGAGATCTTAAATAAATCAATTAAATCCTCAGCTCAGATGCTGCAGCAAGGGCACAACTGCAGCACCTGGGGACTGGAAGACAAATTGTCTTCCTAGCCAGGATTGCCTGATGCTATTTTTTGTTCTAATGCTCAGTTTCTGCAACACTGCTGAGCTGTGAGGGAAGGCAGAAAAGCCCTGTGAAAAATGTAGATGTGGGAGAGGAAGGGAGAAGAACCACCTTCACTCTGCAGGGACCTGGGAGAGAGCCCTGCAATTATACTCCAGCTCTGCAGCCACCAGCGCAAGATTGGCTCAGTACCGGAAGCTGACTGGTGACTCCAAGTTCCCAGGTGGTCTCAAGCTGGTTGCAATGGTGTTTCTGTTCTTTCTGCATGTTTCCAGGGCAGAGTTGTTCTACCTGTTACCTGCTCCAGGACATGAGGCCTTGCAGCCATGCCTTTCCCCTCCCCACTTACGGTTCCATCAACTGTCCCCATTTCCCGAAAGTGATTTCAATTAATTTTAACCAAAACCTGTACAACACAGATTTTCCAAATGCTCTTAACTGCTTATCAACAGGACAGGGGATCAAATGTTATTGCTGTGTTTGGTTGTATTAGCAGACAACCATAATCAAAGTTCTGGCTAACCCCAATGTTAGCGGTCCAGTAGAACACACAATAAAAATATGAACTTTGCCTTTAAGAACTTATAGGGTAAAATAAATTATTTGACAGATACCACTGGGAGGGGAAGTGATACAAGAAGGTGATGGCAGTCTCAGCATGTGGGTAAGCCTAGATATTGCCTGGGGTTTAAAGCTCTGCTTTGCTGAGTTGCGAAGGAGAGACTTATGAATGAGGTTGAGGTAGCCCCAGAGAATTGTAGGCAGTACCTTCAAGTGTGTAAGCAGTAGCATGGAGGATGGAGGAGTTGATTTGATGATCATAGGAGGAGCTGAGCTCCTAATATGGAGGTAGGAGATGACAAGTGGACAAGGAGAAGCTGTTAATGACTTGAAAGTGGGGACAAGAAGCTTACATTTGATGTGAAGAATTGTGTAGAGAACATAATGAGTTCAAAGTGACAGACCTTTGCATCTCTGACCGTTGGATGACTACAAGACAAGATCAGCTTTACAAACGCCTGGTAAAACATGAAATTGAAGTGTCATGCAAGAGCAAGGATTTCACGTGGAGATGTGTGCATAAGATTCTTCAACATGCTCAGGTACCCTTTGATACATGAAGTGGTATGCCAGCACCCAGCAGACAGCCAGGACTGTTAGGTTCTATCTCACCTCTGCCATCAACTTTTATAGAGAGTAGATAGTTTTGTCAGTGCAATTTTCTTGTTACAGCTCATTTGTGTGGTCTGACTCACACCCATGAAGTAAAACAGCAACTGGCAATAGTGTATCTACCAACAGGCACATCCCTCCACCTATTAAGGTTAGCCCCAAGCGCACATTCTCCAGGGTGATCCACTGTGCAATCAAGTGTGATTGTTCATCAAGGGCACTCTTTCACTCATCCCTGCTTACAGGAAAATATTTCATAGGCTCTTTAAGAAGAATACAATGACAGATTACCTGCCTCCTGAATACCTTGGCCTCTAAGCACATGTCTGACAGAACCATATCAAGTGCACACAACAGACTCACATGATGAGCATGTGAACTGCTGGAGAATAAGGAAAAGTAGTATGATTTTCTTGTTTGCAGAGATGGTAAGAGAGAACCCCGCAACACCAATCTTTTTCTCCCTTCATCTTTGGAGGGCCATTTTCCCACAATTTGATGCTCACAAACAGCTGTGTGCTTTTAGATTGGGCAGACTTGGATCCTAGAGGCTGCTACAGATCGTAACTACTGCAGTAACTAAAGCAATATTCATACACACACATATACATACCGACATTTAAAAAGCATATTTTTGTCTGCAAAGTCTCAAATGCCAAGGGCTATTTTGGCTGGATTCCTCTACATTCATCTATTTCAGTCAGAGAGGACAACATAAAAATCATTTATTCAAGATGATTCTTCTTTCTGGCACAACCCATATCAGAGTTAATGCAATAGTTGGATTTGTGCTCAGCAAACGTGCAGAACAGAAGTGCAGGGACCCTCTTGTTAATTTTATTGCTCTAGGTTCCCAGTGCAAGAGACAATACAGAATTCCAGATTTAAGTAAAGAAATCATTTTGCAATATCTTAGCTCAGTAAATGTATCCTATCATTATTTAGAGGCATGCATAGCACAGATACACGTTAAACTGTCTTACCAGCTCAAAGGAAACTTCACTTTTCACACTGCTTCTGCCCCTTGATAGCTTTAGCTGTGCGGTTTGATGATCAGGCAGTAGCAGCAGTGGCATAATAAAGCAGAAGTTGCTGTGCCTGATTTTGAAGATAATCTCAAGAACCAATGAAAACCTGCTCAGATTATCAGATTGAGTTGAAGAGTAGCTGCATCTGCAGTTACTCATTAGTGATGGAGAAACTGAGGAATTTCTGCTAAAGGGTTAATATTTAAAAGGCCAAGTAATTTGCTGAATATGAAAGAACCTGCTTGCAACATTTATATAATAGAAGACCAACAGAAGAGCTCTTTAAGTGACCGTAAACCGTTTCCTAGCCCTGTCTGGATATGAGGCAAGACTACTCCCACCCAAGGCCTCTACACAACTGCGCTCAGACACCTGAGGCATCCCTGAGCTGCCCTGTTCTGTACTTCTTCCACAGCCTATTGCTGCACTGTGCTTGAAGGGCCAAAGGCAAACAAGCATTGCAGTACTTCCACGTCCATATCCTAGAGTGTATAAGGAACAGATCTTTCCATACCCTGCTGTAATGCTGCAGTGGTTGTACTACAGTCAGGATCCATCAAGTCCATTACATACATGTGCCAGAGAAGCGGATGGGAGAAGCAGGCAAAACACAGACTGAATAACAATCTGCCAGTATTAGTTTTAACAGCCAAGAGAGGAAGGCAGGGGCTGTGCAGAAATGAGGACAGACACTTCCAAATTGGTACTACAGGTTGAGTTATGGTGCTTCTCCCCATATCCGCTTTTCAGCATTTCCCCTCCAGTAAGACTCCTGTCAACTACCATGAGGCCTCATGGTTACCCATTTCAATGTATATTACACTTTTTATTGTCACAACAGGCCTGAACAGGAGCAGAAATGGAAAGCCCCTAAAATGCAAGCAGCCTTCAGAGCATCATGTAAGCAAATAACAACTGCTGCCTCAGAGCTGCCCAGATGCTTGCAGTTCACCGTGCTGCAGCAAAAGACATCTTGTCTCCTGTAGAGACAAACTGCATCCTCCCTGCCTACTGCTGCAGGTCACCATAAAGATGCAATGGCCATGGAAGGCCCACGTCTTTTGTAATATTCTGCTTACAGGGCAGACAGGAAAAGAACTTTACAGGAGTTCAGCAGCAGTTTGGTTCAAATGGCAAAGCAAAATGTTCTTCCTCAGTTTCCTTTCATGTTACTATTCCAAACTACAGAGCAGTATATGCAACATGAACATCACAGCTCTCTGCAGTTGCCTTTTTTCATACTTCCCCCATGCCCAAAACGCCACCCAGCCCAGGCCATTAACTGAACTCCTGTCCCTGATTGTTGTGAATACTGAGCAAAGCGCAGGAGAGCACAGCCGCCTAAAGGCTTTATCTGCATGGGTGGTGATGCTGGCATCTTCTTGCTACCTCACCCCACTGCTCAGGTCATGACCAACCTCACCTCTGCAAGGCTTATGTTAGATCATCTGGTTACCTGAGCATGGCAGGAGCAGCTGAGCAGATTCAGCTGCAGGCTGCGTATTGAAACTGTTGTTTTAAGCAGGCCTGCTGGGCCAAGCAGCAAAACAGCAACTGCCCTTACAGCATGATTGTCATCACACTCTGTCTGTGCTTCACGCTGCTGTTCAGGAATGTACCACTGTACGTTTCTGAGGACACAGAAGGGTGGAGTGAGACCTTTTAGAGACAGCTTGTTTGAGAGCCCAGGAGGCCTCCCCAGAACCCACAGCCATGGGCTTGCACTGCCACCAATGGTCCAAACATTCCTGCATAAACAGTCTTTCCAAATCAGATACTGCTGGGTCAAGGACATGTGCAGTTTGCTGCTAGAAGCCACGGGGAAAAAAAGCCCACCTCCAACCCCTCCACATCCACAATGTCAACAACTCATTGGTCAAAAGCGTAATTGTTACAAGTGCTTCAAAGGGAACAGTCTCCCTTACTTTAGTATCCTTATGCCATGTATCAAAGCGAGTTCTTCTCTGCCCATGAAGTCTGTCTTCTAGGGTGATCAGAGGCAACTTCTAGGCCAAGGTAGCATCAAATCACCACAAGCTACCAGATGTGCAGCTAGATAGTGTTGCAGTAACAGAAACAGCTCCTTCAGCAGTTCTGGGGCCAGCAATACTCACAGAAACAAGGAGCACGCAGAATTAAGGGGCTTGAGGAAAGCTAGGCAAGTGTCCCCTCTTCCCTTAAGCAGCCTGGGGTCAGTTACCACAATGTAGTTTCTGAGATGCAAATAACTGCAAGATGAGCAGCAGAAGGCTGTGCTACAGACCATCAGAGATGCTTTTGCTCAGTACACATTTGCACAGACATAAGTGCAGCGTGAGCAGACCCTGTAAGATAGTGCATGGCAGGATCAGCTCATCAGTAAGGAAGTGGAGTTGGCTCAGTCCTCTGCTGCCTTGTGAAGGGCATGCAGGGTACTTGCAGCACAGCAGGAAGGACACATAAACATGCTAAGACAATACCTTCCCACAAGAAAAATGGAAAATAAGGAGAGAAGGAACCAAAAACAGCCCCACTATCTTGGAGCAGTGCCCAGGAAGCCCCTAAGCTAGGGGTATATTGAGGGAGTAACAACAATATGGGCAAAGCTAAGCCCAGTAGGTTCAAAATCACAACAGCCATGGTTCTACTATGTTGTAGAATCAAACCGAGGATTTGGATGCATAGAAAAGCTCTCCCAGCACTCACCTGTGAAAGGAAGAGCTTCTCTTCATTACAGTGCTCCCCCTTGTTTAGGGAGCTGTGGGGTTGGCTAAAATCTTGGGTGAGAGATGGGGGAGAGGAAAGAATTTATTGGTATCACAGCAACAACAGATTATTACTGCACTTGAAACATACATCATTCACCACAAAGTTTCTCTCAGTATCAGATCTTCTGGACCCAAGCAGCCCATGAGTCAGGAGCACTATGCCTACAGAAGGTTCATTCAGCATCAGTATTACAGTGACTTTTAAAGACAATTATCTTAGACAAAACAGAGATACAGAGATGTCAGGGAGAAATATATTTACAGTTACAGTGCAAATAGCAATTTCATGGTTGGCTTTATCAGCTACCAGAGATTGCTCAAAATCTGGGCTACTGACCTGTTGACTGCAGCAGACCAGGTCCAAGGCAGAAGATGGAGCTGCAGGCACGTCCAGGTAGTACAACACTTCTGAAATTTCTGCATAGCTCTAAAAGCTGCTCAATGTTTCAGTTCATGTGCTTGGAAAATGCTGGGAGAGATGCTGCTGCAGCTGAAGAGCACCACAGCAAGAGTTTGCCTGGAATTACATGTTTTGAAGACTTTTCATTAGCAGTCTCCACCTGGAAAGGCAAAGTGTTTCTGGAGCCTGAGTTGTATTTGCTCTCTTGGCCACAGACTTCTGTGATGATTATATGAGAACTGGGTTTGATCACACCTCATGGTCAGAGCTGGGACCCTCCATAATTAACTAACGATTATAGCTGGGTTTAAAGAGCCAAAGATATTAGTAGGAAAAGTAATACCACCTGTGTTGTTGGGAAAGGGTAGGGGAACTTTAATGTAACAAACATACTTGGCATGGGTTATGCTTCTAAGATTCCATCTGCATCCAAACTCTCAAGTCATGTGATAATACCAGGGAAATTTAAAGTTTTGTTGTACTCTTTATAAGGTCACTGTCAAAAACAATTGCACATATACATAAGCCAAGGGGTAATTTCCAAGGTACAGTTCTTTTTCTGCCATTATAAAGGGGGCTGTGGGTGGGGGGATAAAAATAATAAAATCAATAATGTCAAGTGTGAGGCATGAACAGAATAAGGGGCAGTAGAAATAGGCAGATGTATTTCTATGCACCTAACAGTTTTCAGCAGTATGCAAGCCAGCTTACATGCAGTAAATTTTGCTTCTCTTACGAATTTTTCTAACACTTTGCTCCTGGCACAGTATGGAAAAGGTTGAACACTCTTGTTACAAGGCAACATCAAGTCCTTAGTTTGTCTGTGCTCCACTGACAGGGCTGTCAGAGCGACAGGAGACCCACTGCTTGACGTAGCTCCGTGGAAAATCCTCCCCCTCCTGCTCAAGAGAGATGGACCCACAGTTGGTCTGATTGTTTTGCTCAAATTCACAGTCAACCGGACTCCCACAGTCTGAGTCCACAAAGCCACTGTCAATAGTGTCCAAATCTATGCAGATCACAGGGTAACTGTCACCAGACCTTGTGATGTGGGGGAAGGAGTCACAGGAACCTTCACTGTAGGAAACACTTTCACCATCAGGAGAAGGCAGAGAACCTGGATTTTCCAAATCCCACTGATTAGGCTGCAAGCAAAGGACTTCTAGGATGCTCCCCATCCTTCCTTCCAAAGCCCTTTCTGCTTGCTGGTGGGCTGGGACATTTGTGCTCCGCAGGTGGTCTGTAGACACAGAGCCTGAAGCAAGTATTTTGTCTTGAGTGCTCAGGTCAGTCAGAGGCAAGTCGCTGGGTATCTTTCTGTCTTCATCATCAACGTTAACCTTGGGATAACCTGTTTCTCCAGCACTATCTTCCTCCCTGGTATGCTCATGTCCCCTGTATACACTGTTACAGTTGCATTGGCAATTACAAGGCGTGAATTCATCAGCCACAGTCACAGTATCAATGAATAAATGCCCGTATGACTGGTCCTGAGTCCCACTAGAGAGCAGGGACTGGCCATCCTGACCTGGGGCAGTCAGGCACGACACACAGGGCTTGCAAGGCAGAACACTCTTCTCATCTCGTGCAGCTCCTCCCGTGAGGTGCTGTTGGAATTACACATGGTATAAACTTCTAGGACTTCTGGAAGGACTATCCCCCATTCAAAGAAATCAAAAGTGATTTTTGAATGGGGTGCACCAACCCACTTCTGCACAAAGGGACAGAGAGGGAGAGAGGGAGGAAAAGAGAGAGGTTAGTGTCATCAGGTTTGAGGTTCTACAGAAATTACCAAAGTTCTTACAGCTTTAGAGGCAAAATGAAACTCTAAAAATCCCTGACTCCTCAAAGCGAGCAGGGTATGAGATGCTGCTGTCACCACATGCAGCAGCTGCAGGTGAACTGGCTCAACTGATTGAGAATGATTAGCTCTGAGAGGTTTGTGTGGCTTTGCAGTTTTCTCCATGCTGCAAAGAATGCCACTGCCCGTGGCAGCATTCCTTTGTGCATCAGCCAGAGGTCCCAAGCCACCATGTCTCCTCTGCCCTCTTGTCCTGGACACTGCTTCTCTCAGGAAGGATGGTCAGCTTCCCACCAGGTGTGCTGTGCTGGCACCTGACAACACAGCCTTGCTTTGTCGCTTCCCTCACCAGAGTTCCCTGTGAAGGGGGTCAAGACAAGGCTGCTTCCAATCTTCTGTCTGCAACCGTGTACCAGACCAGCCTTTTCTCCCACAGTGACAAGAAGGAAGCAGGAATAGGCAGCGGATGGAGACCTCAAAGAGCTGTAACCACTGCCTCTGCAGATTACTCTTACTGAGATGATTAGGGAGTGCTGCACACTGAATCTTGCCCTTCTGTATCACCATTAGTATTACATTCTGCCCTGTATTACCTCTAGATCACGAGCCCCTTGCATTCAGGCACATGTGTGAGTAAAGGCACCTCTGGGTTTCTCTGATCTAAGAACAAAGTAAAAGTTTCTGTTCTTTTAGAAGAAGTCATTGAATCAGACACTCAGATCACAACAAGCTTTAGGCATGTGCCACTAATGAATGCCAGTCCCACTAGAGGATTCTGCAGTCCAGAGGCTGGGCTCACCCCACACTCAAGACTTGGTTCTGCTCCCTGTCTGAGACTTGCCTAATGGCTGAGCTGTGTCAAGGCCCACCTAAGTGCACCACTTTCTGCCCTGTGATTGATTGATGGCTTGGCTTCATGAGTGAAGATTTGGGAAGGGCTTTACCCACACTTACTACAAGCGTGATGAGGACTAAAAGGGCAATGTGGGATAGGTAAATCCTGTTGGAAAAGGCTGCTTGGTCACACAGGATGTTGCTGAGCAAGACTATCATCTCCTGGGTCAACCTCGAGTGACCAATGTCCTGAACCACCTGCATGCATGGTTTGGTCTGCAGTTTCCAGTGCACTTTATCACCTGCCGTTTCATCCCTCGCCTGTCGCTACAGGGCTTTGCAAGTGTGGGTAAACCCTTCGGGCCTGCGCAGTGGATTTTTAGGTGAGGCACAGAGTGTGTGGAACTGGCTCCACCCTTTACACCTGAGGTGAGGTTTACCTGCCGGGGCCTAGTGAGCTTGGATGGTGACAGCAAAGTACTCAGGTCGTAGGCTTGGTTAGAGTGTCCTTCTCTTAGATGTAAGGCCTTACAGAGCTAAACGAGCTCCATCTGCCCTGGTTTGAAGTTAGAGTTGTCCTTCTCCTAGGATGGTTGCCCAAAGGCTAACGTTCAGGATGTTTCCGCACAAGACTGTCATCTCCTGGGTCAATTTCTTACTATTGCAACAACACAACAACAGTAGGGTAAAATATCTAGGCAGGATTCTGACTTGGAGGCATTCAGTCATAAGCCCGCAGATAGTAGCCTTGCACTCTGTATAATGCTGGTAACAACACTGGGCTTCATAAACACTGTGAAGGCTTCTGACAGAGAGCTGCATGACAGCTGTGTGTTGCCATAGCTGCCAGACTGCCTTAATCCTATCAGCCTCCTGCACAAATTGCACTCAGCGTAACTAGACATGAGCAAAGAATTTGGGAAGAGAACATCTTCACACAGCCTATTACCCTCTGAGACAGAGCATAGGAAAGTCTTCATTATAGTAGGAAGCACCAAATCTATTTTAATTTATTTTTAACCTAAGCTATGAAGACCTTATTATTAAAACTGTAATGGACAGAAAGGTATCTGAGGTGCTATTTGAAGAAACAGCAGGAAATCCCTTTGTAAAGTTCCTGCCCAGCGTGATCTTGTGTACACACAAGGGTAAACAATGTTTCTCTGCTTTCCCTTCTCTTTTTAGGTCTTAACTTTTCCTATAACATTTTCACTGCTTTCTACCCAGTCCAGGACTCTCGTCTGCAGAGCATCACTATTGTAATTTGCTGATCGTTATTCACAGACATAACCTAAGCACTTGCTCTGGGGCAGGCAGGGTGCAGTTGAACAAGCTCTGCATCAGCTGGTTTCTTGCCAGCTGAAAGGGATGAGTCTGTTCATGTATTAGTGATGTCACCACATCCTCTGACAGCCCCTGCCTGTGCATCTTGTGCTGTGGCTATGGGGGCAACAGCACAAGATGCTGTGCTGCTTTCACCTGCACATTTATTAAGAAGCAACTGAAGCTCATTCCCTTCTCAGCAGGGACTGAACAGAGCAATTAGCAAGACTGTAATTCCCACAGAATAGAGAACCCTATATGGCTTCAACCCAACAGGAGTGTGGCTCTTGGCATACAAGGTGCTCCCACTTCTATTGTGAGCACTAGATAGCCTGTGACACTCAGGAATTCCCACAGAGTCCACCTGGTCTTGGATCGTTTCTCCAAGAGCAACCAGCGCCACTTGCCTCACAAGAGGATGCAAGTACCCCTCTGGAGCAGATATGGGAAGCCGCAATAAGGCTGAAAGAGGAAGGCAGGTAAGAAGGGAGGCAGTTGCTGCCAACTTCAG